GAGAGGAGAAATTTAAACGAAAAAGAGAAAACAAAGTCAGGGGTAAAAGAAAAAAAAAAATGAAGAAACACGGTAAAGACGAGAAAGTTCGTTGGTCACGAACGAAATAAGTGGAAACTGCTCTTGAAACATTGCCCAGCGAAACCAAAGTTCCTACTACGTTTTATAAAGTATATAAACAGAACTGCAAAACTTGAATTGTACATAACGAGGGTTAAGCTAACACACGATCCACAAAATACAATCAGCAATCGAACGATGCTAACAGAAAGAGAGAGAGAGAGAGAGAGAGGGAGAGAGAGAATGAGAGTGAGAGGGAGTGACGGAAGGAGATGCAGGGTCAATTGATTCCACGTTCGCGGTTACTATTATTATTGTTATTACGATTATTCGAGAGAAAGGTCGAGAACATTTGGAGAAATTTCGATAGGAAAAAGGGGATTTTTATGGTCCACCGTTGTGAAACAACATCCATGCGGAAAAATAATCTTTGTAATATACCATCGTCTTCGCAATTTAATGGACGGGGGACAATTGATCGTGACAGCACAATAAACGATGAAGCATATGAGAAAAACACACTACGAGAAAGGAATACGCGTTAATATACGATACATTACGTACACGCAAATATACACACGCACACATGAACGTCACATAGATTTCACGTATTATACATACAGATATGTACACACAGAAACAGGCAGACACGGACACAGACACAGAGAGAGGGAGAGAGAGAGAGGCACAGATACATCACATGACATCACATCACATAAGATACGCGCGTACAGAGAAAAGGAAATTAAGCACATTAAGTATACAATTAAATTAAGCAGCCGTAGCTTTAGCTTGAATGTTAGCACCTAGACAACACGATGTAACATTAAACTACGTATTTAAAAAAGAAGTGACGAGAAACGGAGAGGAAAAAGAATCTTTAGCGGTTAAGCGAACTATCTGTGTAAAATCTAGTAGGTGTCCACAAGAATAAAATAAAAACATATATTGTGGTACAAATCACACAAAGATCGTACCTTCAAGGTCCTCACATATTTCTGCGCCTCCAAGCATTACCGAACTCTTTCTTGTGTATATCATTTTTTATACGCCGAGCTGATTCCTGTATGATTTCTATATATTACATTGTGATACTGTTCACACGATATTCCTATTTGTCGAGCATTTTCACATAATCCGAACGAAAAAAAAGAGAGATTGCTTTGGGTGAAATCGACCCTTTTCTTCTTTTTCCGCTTGCTTTCGTTTATCGTCCTTTGTTCGAGAATACTTTTTTTGATAAGAAACGAGGTTTTGTGAAATTTTCTGTCCGGTGTCACAAAGAATTCGGAATGTATTATATAGTTGTTTTTCCTTCGAATCGAGAGAAAAGAAATGGTACCCGGAGATTGTACTTGAAAATCGAGAGGATTCGTCAAATTTTATTATCATCGTCCTCAAAGTTTCGTCGTATCGTTTACATCGCCGTTTGCTACCAATTCGAAGTCCGGCTTCGATTCTGGAATGGATCGTCTGTCCGCCTTTCCAGTCCACTCGATCGCACCGTAGCCGATCATTCCGAGACACAGGATTCCCATCAGGACGAAGATCTTCGTTTGGGTGCAGAGGTAAGGACTGTACGCGTACGTGATCACAGATCCTGTGGATTCCCAAAGGCGGAAGTTGGAGAAGGCCGCTTCCTCTTTGCCTGGGAAGAGTATTCCTGACAGAGCTGAAAATTTCAATTAAGAAAATGAAGAAATACTTTGTTCTTCGTTTGAATCGATCGATGAACCGAGAGCAATTTTGATCGTTTTGTGGTTTCGAGCAACTCGTTTTGGGGCAAGTGTCAAGTAATTGTGAAGATTTGTCAAGAGATAGGAGAAATATCGATTGAAGATAAATTATTCCAGCTGTTGTTTGGAGAGGAACGCAAGTTTCCTGCAGTCGGTATTCAGAATTTCAATTCGGTACCAGCAGCTGATCGATACGATTGCTATTTTAACAGTAGTTGATATTGCGAACCAATGGAATCCTTTTTATCAGCAGACAGTAAAGTTGAAAGTGTGGATTTCATTATTCGAGATTGCATTTTGTGTAAATTGAAGAGTGAACCTTAAAAAGATTACAGGCGCCAGTAATGAGAATTTTTTAGTTATCAGAATGTTGTTACGATATTCTTATTTTAATATTTTGAAGTTTCATTAATTTAGAAAATAGAAGTTTTACATTGTAAGAGGAGGTAAGAGTTCAGTGGTACTTAGAACATCTTGTGTCCAGTATTCAATTATAGTAACTCACCATTAACTTGCACCAGCCACAAGGCGTCACAAAGGCCCCACAAACCAGACATCAAGAAGAACATGGAACTTTGTTCGGGAGTTGGCTTCCAACGCAATAGAAAAGCTAAAATTCCTATGTGAAGACAGAAGGCGAATATCATTAGAGGCCTCCTTCCTGTCAATTTCATTAGTGATCCGGTGCCTAACGCGGCTATAGCGTTCGTCACACCGAAACAGATCATCACGTAGCCTATGTTGCTGACTCCCCATGCGCAGGATACGAAGGACTTGAAAGAAAATTGATCAAATGTACCTTAAAATGAGGAAGAAAAGCGTGCAAGTTTAACATACACTCACAGCATTATAATCAGCGAATAAAAATGCTTGTTCTGCTCCAATGAATATAATAATTGGCAGTATAAGCAGCTGATTTTTCTCTTTCAATAGTTTCAGCGTCACGGCTAAAAGCTTGCATCCTGTGAGACCTGTCGCTGATCCTGCTCTGCCTTTGTTGTATCTGTAGGCAAAGTAAAAGTATGATTTTATATTTCGTACTTTTATTTTTTCAGTAAGAATGTCGAAAATATTAAATACAATCTATTATATTAAATTGTAAAATAAATCTTTGCGTTGGGTATTTGTTTGTTTGCTATACTCTTTGTGACCGAGAATATGTGGGAGATATCAATCAATTATGTAAATTTTTCGCAGAGGAATTTCTAATTTCTCTATGAAAAGAATTTGCAGTTTTTGAATCGATGAATTTGTGGACAGCATTTTTAATATTGTGTAAATGTTGACTTTACATTCCATATTTTTCAACACTTCGCATTCCATATTTCTCAACACTTTGCATTTCATATTTTTCAACACTGTGCATTCCATACATTTCAACACTTCTGGTAAATTATTTTATCATAAAATAGCAAGGATATTTTAACCCACTGTAGAATATTTGTCGCAAAATCGAAAGAGAGAAATCATACTAGTGACATAATAAAAAATCGAGTTCAAGTGTTGCTTTAAAACAGCAACACCTCGAGTAGTAAATCTTGCATGACGAATGGGAGCAATACACGCGACATTCTTTCTGCTAGTATTTTAAACCTAGATGCGTAATCTATTGGAATGCAATTAAGTATCACATCGTATCGGTTGAATCGATATTAATGTCCCCTTCGCTGTGAAAAATTCCACGAGTCGGAGTTTCGAAGGTTTCCTTGCAACTGGCGCTAGTTTCGATTAATCGTGGGGTGCTATCAGCCGTAATTCTTCAAACGGAAACAATAATATGTGCCCACAGCGGCTTAATGCGCCATCAATTCTGGATTTCCGAATATACATCTGGATACGCGAACGATTTATGATATCCGAAGCGGCGTGCTTCGCCTGGATTGGAAATCGATCTCGTGAAACATCTCGTGTTCTTTTGACGTTCATATTTCTCGAGTTAGTCGATTGACGACGAACGCGTATAATATAAATGCGCAAATATGCAAGTTAGTTTCTTCTTTTTTTTTTTTTATACCTAATATGCGGTATAAGTTGCATTTAGCTGCGACTTCTCGTACACTGAAATTTCATACGTGATTGGCATATCGGTTTCCAATATGAGTCTGATTTCCGTAACGCGGATTTCTAACGGGGACGAGTAACAAATGATGCACCGAGGATTCTCGTTTATGAATACGCCTAGAAGAGTTGGAAGAGCGAAGATCGAAGAAAGTGGAGACTAAGATGTTTTAAATTTTCTGGTTTTCAATTTTTTAAGTTACGAACTTTCGAACTTCGAAACTTCCCAATATTCAGATTCCCAAGTTTTCAAATTTTCAAATTCCCGAGTTCTCAAACCTTCAAGTCTTCAAATTTTCAAATTTTCCAACTTTCAAACTTTCAAGTTTTCAA